GATTTGTACTTCTAAAGCTTTGCTGCTCTTAGATTCTCGAATAGGGATTATGTTATGTTCCCCCGCTTTATGATCCCTTAATATCATAGTGCTATGTTCGAAGAGATTACGAGTTCACCTAATCTGAGAACGGAACGAACACTCAGTGACACAATGATCAATAAGCTAGCTATTCCGCTAACTAGAGAGAACCCCAAGTTCAGAAGAGGGAAATATGTTTTACACGCAGCCAGAAGCACAGACAACCACAATAGGCACAACTCAAGCGTATATATGCAACATAAAAATGTCCTTGGGAAACGTTACAAAATAGCATACTGTAAAAGACAACGAAACAATATCATTTAAGACCCTCCCAAGTGGGAAATAGGACATGAAGGTTAAAATGGGTGCTTTTGGTGCGAAAACAAGGAATTCAAATTTTTAAAATAGAATTACAAAAATAAGGCATTTACCAAATGAGCTCTGGGGATCTAACATCCCCAACACCTCCCCTCTTAGTAACGTACGTTCGTGGGGTTCACTTGCATCTTGACCGTCTGTCGCCGTTGTCGCAGTGACCACCTGCTGGACGGTAGACGTCTTCCTGTGTTGGGACTACGGGCAGACTAAAGGTATCCAACAGGATGTCCAGAGGAATATTCCCGTCTGTCGATGGGCGAGCTGGAGCTAGCCGCTTACGTAGCTGGTTTCGGTGTCGAGTCCTCCTGTCTCTCCCCACCTCTACCTCGTGCATGACATGACCTAGTTTTCCGGCCACATGTGCTTCTGTCCAGGGACCATGATTTGGTCTGTAGTCTCGAGCGAACATCGGACATCCAACCTCGTGTGTTAGTAGCTTCTGGGACCTGGTCTGTGATGGTGTGGTTCTCGGGAGCATCACATTGTGTATCGTTCTCAACTTTCTTCCCATGAGGATCTCTGCCGGGGATTTCTATTCTGATAGCATACACTAGGTGTCGTTCAGTAAACGAGTAGGAAGTTCCACAATGTTTCTGCTGGCATCCCCTCCCCTTTCGACTTGATTAGAGCTCTCTTGAATGTATCCACAAACCTTTCTGCTTGGCCGTTTGATTGTGGGCGGTAAGCGGAAATGATACACACAATTGTTTTTGTGTATGAAGCTGTTTTTTATTACTCTGGGGGTCTGTTCTTCGATAATTGTGTTTGGATCTTTTTAATTTTACGTAGATCTAGACAATCATTTAGAGTTGATAAGTTTGACTCGGTCTTGGTAGAAAAACTGAATTTTCTTACATCTAACTATTACAGTTTTTTATATCTGTACTTATATAGTTATTAGTAGTCCGTGTTATATTTTGCCCTAATTGTTTTTATTTTTACTATCGTAGGAGGAAATCCCGGTCGATGTACCTACGATGGGACGTTCCCTTTCAAAAGCGGAACAAGCCAAAGCACGTAAAAAAGCTCGTCTAGCCAAACGTTTAAAACGAATTCGTCAGAAGGCAGAAGGTATATCTGATGAAATACCAGAAACTGAAAAGTGGCAACAAATAAAACAGTAAGTGCTGGTATAAAAAATACGTTGTTAGTTTTGGCTTGAGTTGTTAGTACTTGAATATAATTTAATAGTAGGGTAATTATACATCTTTGGAAATAGCATCTACTTCGTGTTTGTTTTGAGGGTTTTAATTATTCACTTTCTAGATGAATGTGTAACAGAACCTTTAGCGGCTACTACAGAACTCCAAACTAGTTGTATAAACATTCGATCCTCAACAACTGGGTCGCACGTCCAAATCCTGCCTCACATTCTGTCATTTGGACAGAATGTGACAGATCCTAAATATGAATTAAAACCAGCTACATTGATCTGTTCTTAATTGCTGAGTTGCATGGATTTTCAGCTACTTAATATCACTATTTTCATCCAGTGTATATTTTGGTATATACCTAGCAGTGGAATCCAGGACACGTGTTTCGTCCCGTTTAGTAGTCGTTATCTGAGTGCACTTTCACCTCGGCGTTGAACCCATAACCTTGAACTTCAAGCTTCCAATGCGTTATACAAACGAATAACTCGTTCATCAGATATGAACAGGAAATTGCAAACCCCTAGTAACAGTGTACCTTTGTTTTAGATAATTGCATAAAATATTAGTTCATTTAAAAAGCATCCTACTGTTACATCTTACGCATTGGAATCCTTATTCAGCTTGTTTATACAAAGATTGCCTGTAAGCATATTTGTTACACCGTATTCGAACATAGGCTGTTGATATATGTAGACAAATCAGTACCTTTGATAAATTTTTAACATTTTTAACCCATAAGTTGCTCATCAATAAATTTAGTTCGCTGTGTTAGTGTGTGACCATTTAGTTATCATTTTCATTTCTACACTTAGACTTTATAAGAAAGCTGGCCTGTTGAAAAAGAAGCGTCGCCCTCTTCATGTAATTGTAAATACAAAAGCTGGTTCGCGTAGCGGGGGAACTAAACCTCAAAAAGGGGCTAAAGTCAAAATTGTAGATAAAAGAATGAAAGCAGATTTACGTGGACAGCAAAAAGCTAAGGATGGAAAAAAGCATGGAAAGCGTAAGAATAAAGTTGGGCGTCCTGGAAGGCCAAAAAGTCGAGGATTCGGAAAGAGACGTTAACTGTTCTGTTCCGTTTATTGAGATCTGTATATACAAATCATTTGATTATGTTGATTTTTGTAAAATATGCTTATTCTTCCTCATCTACTTGCTGAGTACAATATACAGTCATTTAGTATGCAGATAACTTTCTTAACCATTACAATATTTTCCATGTAGGTAACTAATTCAAAAATGAAGAATATTTGAGCAAACAATTGTTCTCAATAATTTCATCATCAGGCTTTACAGTTATATGTCCATAATTATGATATTTTGCAAAAGCCAAAATAAGACATGTATTTATGAATTCGACAATGTTATATGTTAAAAATGGTGAACGTTTGCATCTGTTACGACATATATACTTCGAAATTGTGTTATTTGTATATTAGCAAGGTCATTTAATAAAGGTCAGAATGAGTTGAAGTGTCAAGTCATAATAATAATATTCAGTTTAGGTATCCGGTGATCCAGTAGTAGGCCACGGTAAACATAAAGGCTGTTTATATCTTTTCTGGTTACATAAGTTCGGTTCTATGGAGTTGATCCAGATGGCTTCAGCTATGTAGAGTAGCCGTAATCTGGCTGCTTGATGTAGATCCTTCGGAATTTGATATGAAACCGAAAAAGCTCCCTCTATTTTGATGTGATATTCACTATCTACCAAATGAGAAAGAATAGTACTGTTGATCTATTTAGTAACTCATTGTCCCAACCGTTCTGGCACATGTTCATGAACACGCAAGGATAAAGCCTTCTGAGTGCGGCCAATGTAACTAGCTCCATAGGAGCAGTCGAATTGGTATACACACATGGAGGAGTCCATCATCGTTAACCTGTCCTTGATTTATTGTGTAAGTACTGGTTTAGTTGAGAAAGTTATATTTAATACATGCTTTATTTTGGCCTTAGTAAAATATCATGATAATTGTAAACTTGTAACTAATTCAGTCCAAAATTGTTAGTGTAAAATACACACGATGAGACTCCTGCTTATATGAGGGTTTAATATACAGGGATTTGTTTCTTAGGTGTTCAATCACCCACAATCAATTAGATTACGATTATAAGATCGAATCAACAGGATTCTCGCAGCACAGTATTTTTGTGATAAAACGAGGGAATTTTAATTGCTTTGACAAAAAATGTACGGAGTTTCGAGGGTGATTAATTCACGTTTAGTTGTCTTTTAAGCTCTAGAACAGCCTGGTCGCATTTGAACATGATACATTACCATAATTACGGGATTGATTAATAGTAATTTTCTCGATAAAATATGTAAATTTGTGATCAGTGATTGTATATGTTACCTAAAATGAGTGCTTTGAAAAGCTTTTCATAACTGATTATCTAACTCGGAAGTTTCATGTTGAATGCAAGAAATGGGAAGTCAGACTTTCATATGAGTGTTGGAATTGATGATATGCTTCAACCATTTTCAATGGAACATCTTTTCCAATTGTGTTTCTTTAGTAGGTGTTAAGAGTATGATCCTATTACCTTTATAATTTTCTTGTAAATGGTAAATTCATGCCGAAACATTTATTGCAAATCTTACCACAGTGACTTGACTTCATAGTCAATCTCATTATTTTGTTTATCTGCTTTGCAAGTAAGGAAATTATATATTTCTAACTTGAGTTACGGATCTACTCGACACTAATGGCCCCCGCCCCCCGCAGTTGAATAATTCAGTAGAAATCTATGGAGGAAACATGTATTTTAAATAAAGTGTAGATTATGTTTATGATTTTTATTGTTAATTGTTTACCTTAATTTCCACATCGAGGTGAAAGGGCTTGTCAAGCCTATGGCTTAAATGACTTAATATTTATTCAAACCTCATAATATAAATTCAAGTGGGGAGTTCATAGTTTTGCTTTCAAGAAACAAGCTTAATCACATGTCGAATCTCTTATGGCAGTCACATTTTGACTAGCAAAATCCAGTTACCCTGAGGGATATGACCTCATGTATCAAATGAAGACAATAGTTGAGTTTATCTTAATGTAACCAATTTTCATTGAGGTCAGTTTATTGCGTACTACGTCTCATGTACTCTGATAACTTTTTTCATATACTCTTCACTGACTAAAAAGCTGGTTGCTTGACCTAGTAAAGTTAGTGAAAACCACTAGTTAATTGCCTGCACAGTTAAGATCCAACCAACTTCAGATTTGTGTAATATCAGTTAAATCACTCGTCTTTGAGACTAATTTTGGCATATGTATGCTGATGAATATTCTACTATAAGTTCTGGTTTCATTTAGTCATTGTTATCCAATTCAGGTAGTAAACTAAGGCAGCGTTTGTGCGTAGTTGTTTATTTAACATAGCACATTTTACTAAAAAGGAATTGAGTGTATTTTATTGGAAACAAACAATACAATGAAATATTCAACTTCTCGGGGCATTGCATAATCCAAGGAAAGTATATTTGGCTCCCATTGAGTAATGGCCAACTGAAATAATAAAACAGTAATTGTCGAAAAGTGATTAAAAGACATGGATATAATTTCATTAATAATATTAATGGTGATGGAATTTATTTCATATAGCTAGGTTTATGTATGGTTAAGGATAAGGTTGGTAGTTTCTGTTGGATTCTCAGAGCATGGATGGTTGATTTCAAAAATATTAACTTTACTATCATCTTGGGAAACTTCGAGGTGCATACTCACGTATGAAGTCATGCCTTTCATTTACTTGTTACGTAAAAACAAAATAGAAATTATGAATCAAAATCATCAAGAGTAGTTGATTCGGATGGTTATAGTTTAAAGATAAATAGACCTGTTGGACAGGAAGCGTAACTAGATTTTTAGCCATATTTATCTTGATATAAAGCTTTGAGACTTTATGAGCTTATATCTTCCAATATAAAGTTGTGCCAAAGCAAAATGGTAGATAAAACGTGCTCAGTATGATAGTTCTACAGGCAGATTAAATTCCAGTGGTTACTGCTTATTATCTTTTTATCAGAAGGGGTTTGTGGAGATTTTTAGAAATTTCACAGATTGAAATCATGAGTCAATGGAAGCTAGACCATCATGGAAAGCCTGGAAGCACTGGACGGCCGTCCAGTGCTTCAATTGACTCATGATTTCAATCTATTATCTTTTTGTAACGGTTAAAAGCTTCGATTTCACCGAAATCTAGAAAACATAGTTTGGTGCCTATTGTCATTATTTAAGCGAAATGAACGAATTGACTGTTTCTGCGTCAGTTATCTTCTGCAAAAGGTACATCAAAAGCCGATGTATTTTAATGTCAAAGTGTATACTAATCGTTCCTAAATTCAAACTCACCTATTCAAAAGATGTAGGTGGTGACGAATTCACTAAGTTACGGCGGAAACATTCAGCTCACATGGCAAGGAGATGTATTATCAGAATTCATATTGCTGCTGATTGTCATGGCAGGAATGAAGGTATTCTTTGCTCATTAAGTGTTAATTAGATTTAATTAGCACAGGCTGATTTTTTGAGAAAGAACTTCTTACAAAATGAAGTTAAAAGTTGGATGTTCAGGAAGATCTTAGCGAACTGTTAGAAATAATCTCAACTAATGGAGGGGTTATTGAGGGCACGTCGATGTCAGCCTTATCAACTGTGGATTTCAATGGGCGTACTGGTAATCGGCTCGATAGTACTATTTTTTAAACATTGATCACACCAACAACATGTTGGCCTTTCTGTTGATAACTTGGCATAAGATGTTATAGCATAGTAACATTGTGAACAGCTATTGTTGACGCGCTTGTCGGTAAGAGGTGTCTAAGCTTCCAAACCATTTTCTGTGAAGCTCTTTCAACACTTTTTTTCATTAAAACTACTGAGACTGCAACATTCAGATGAAAGAAAAATCCCAAACCACTTATTTTTCAGGGATAGTGAAAGAAGACGTGATGGGGATGACCAATTTATTGTTTAATGCAAAATTACGGAGTGCCTTCGTAAAATATGAAAACTATACATTAAAATACATCATTTGCACATTTTTATTGAGTTGTTCTTCTGTAGTGTAAGCTAATTATATCAACAGACACGAGTAGTATGTAACACCAATCGGAAGTGGAAAAACTAGCAGCAGAAGGCTAAGAAGATGGAGTTGAAGAGAATAGAAAGAAATTAAAAACTGGAAGAATAGAGTGTAAAGGCAAATGATGGGAGTGAAGCATTCAATGTATGGTTCCCATATTTTACTAAGATATTTTGTAGTTTTGTAATAAACAATAAATTGGTTGTCCCTCACCTGAGTCTCCATTCATTACACTTCCTGTTCTCTTTAATTCAATCTTCTACTGGTAGGCATTCCACTTCCGATTACTGTTAAATTCTATTTATATCTGTGAGCATAATTTGCACGCCCCACATGAGTATTACTAATCTGCTTTAATGCTTCTAAATATCATTGTGTGAACAGAATAGATCAAGTTTCAAGATAAATACGTTAGCTGTTCGAAATATTTAACTACCAGTATTTTAATGGATGAGGTTTGAGAGCTAACTGTATTGCTAAAATTTCCTTTTGGATGTAATGACGACAAATTTAACAGATTTTAAATGATAACATAAATTGTTACGGATAATTTTCCGACCCTTATGAATTTACATATTTCGAATATACAATACTAAATATCTGACTTAAATGCAAACTGGAAGCTGATAAAATCCTTTCTGTACTTTGTAGCAAAATATATCCATTGACTTAGTTCACCTCCAGACTACACTCTTCCAATGATCACATTTTATTATTTCTTAAGAATAATAAGTTTTGATAACTAATAAACAATGAAGCTACATACAAATGCATCTATTCTATTTGACCTAAACTTTCTTTTAACCATTGCTTAAGATAACATATGTTTTAGCTTTAATTTAATACTCTTTCATTGGAAATACACTACAAAAATATATAATAATACACATATAGGCATATATCATTCCATAGATGATTACTGCTTAATGTGAGTAATAATATCGATAAGTGTTTACGCTTACATTTTGTTGGTTTAGGCCGTTCAGTTACCCAAAATCGAAAACCTTCACGAGCTTTCTGATTTAATTTTGTTCTGAAAAACTGTTTCCGTTCTTCTGGTGTCATTCCTTTGGTGTATGGACCACCTTTATGATCAGTAGACTCAATACTCATTTCCTTTGTACATTTTTCAAAGCCATCTTCATGTTTTGTATGAGTTAGTGTTGTTTCTCTTGATATATTTTGTAACTGGGATGCAATAATCTGAGCACGTATGGTGTGTGGGTTAGCTTCTTTCTCATGTCTATCATTCATTTCATTTATCTGAAAGTGTAAGTATTATTTGATACTTATTTTTCATCATTTCGATGTGCCGAAAAATGAAACAATCATATTTGTGTCAATTTCTTACTAATTTTGAAACTCACTGAAGAATTAAAGCGGTCTCACTATCAGTTTATTCGTCCAATCTACTTCGTTTCACCTTAAAGGAAATGTAACACTGCATACAATATGCAAATTATCTAACTATACTAAATCTCTAAAGGTGTACTTCTATTAAAATTGTATATTCAAATTGATTATAATAAGAAACACTGTTTTGTAATTCTTAAGCAATATATATACATGAAAGCAAGCAGGAATTCAGTACACGTTAGTTTTGTGTGTTCCTAGTAATTCAAACTAGACAATGCTTCCTGATATCATACAATTAACTAAAAATTTTATTACATAACATAAAATGCTTGATAATAATAAGCAAAATGAAAATAACACCAATCACCTTATCACGCAAAAGAACCCAATTTATAGTACCGATTCTTCTAGCTATCATAACAGGATCAGAGTTTTTCCAATGATAACGCCTAATAAGTGTTTTAAAAAGAAATGACTGATTTAGTTATTAATGAATTACTGCTTTTATTAAACAGAAAGTTACAGAGGGTTTACATTTTTCATTACAAACTGGCTAAGCTAAAACCGAAACCAAAACAATAACCACTACTACTACTACTACTACTACTACTACTAATAATAATAATAATAATAATAATAATAATAATGGTAATTATCAGTATATGTTAGACAACACTTAACGGCTTTCGAATATGCGACAGTCAGTATCTTCTCAAAGGGAAGATTTCAGTAAGTATTTGGTATTGATATTGACTGTCAGTTTTGATGAACTTCCACGGGATGAAATGAAGGAACCTAATTGATCATCTGTACAAATTGTTGGTATCTGCTAGGTAGATAACCAGAATATTAGTCTCACTCTCATAGGTCTGTGTGTATTTCAGATGTATCATTCCCGGCTATGATTACCGTTCTTAACATTTTTGATATTGCCTTTCAACAAATAGGAGACTTGTCATCTCAATGCTTAATTTATTATAAAATTACATAAAATGGATCATATATAACATAAAACATATCATAAAACACATCGGTCAAAACCACTTTAATACCGGTAATGTGGAAGATAGATCGCAAAACACTGAAAAATACTTATGAAAGAAATGGCATTCAGAATATTTCATTGCTAAGCATTGAACAACTAAAAACAAAAAATATTTCAGTAAACTACAATTTACAGATATCAAAGTTTTCTTCACCGCATTATTTCAGATGATGATGCTGAGATAGGAATAAGTAGAAATCTAAGCTCAGAATTAACGGAAATATATTAGGCCGTTGGACTGATCATCTTATGTAAAACGATAAACTAGCCTAGACATCTGGAGTTTAACAGGCGCCCTATTTATTTTACTTCTAACTATTCATATAAATTTACATTAGCATACTATAAATAAAGACTTACTTTAAATTTCACAAAGTCCGCTTAAAATGAATAGGAACTTCTAATAACATACACTTAGTCATAAGTTCTAAACGTTATGAATTGAGACTTATCCATTTTCAGTGATTGTTAGAGTAATGTTAATTAGTGATAACAACTATGAAAACCACTAGAAAAGTTACTTTGTAATAGAATATACTCATTTTATTATTTTTTTAAAATGTTAAATTATTGATTCTGTTACTTTATTAAAATAATTTATTAGAGATCATTTTATATAAATCTAATTTCAGATAAAATCCTTAGTGCTTACATAATTCTGGTTATTAAAATGGTAACCGAAATTATATGTACTTTATGTTTTTTTAAAGGAATAAAGTGTGGTTTTATTATTCTACGTATTAAAAATAACTCCTATTCGAATCTTAAAGTAAGGAATAGTTTCATGAAGTTACTAGCATCTCTCTCTCTCTATTTTTAATACTTAGTAACGATAAGTGAAAATCTTGGCTTACGAATGAAAATCAATATATATTCTAAGTAATCAACAATAAGCAGTATGAAGATAGTAACACTTACCAGTAAATAGCATCTTTTGTTCGAGGTGAATGAGCTCTACGAGTACTCATTCTATTCTTGTTCATCTAACAGACGATGACAATGTTGAATATTGTAAATAATATACGCTAAAATGATTGTTAACTTTATTTCAACACCATTGACCTTAAAAATACTCGTAGTATCTTAATGTGTATTAAAAGAAACAAGATTTATTGATTTACAAACTAATTTTTCTACGAATCAGAAAATAAATTATTAAAATAAGTGCAAACAATGTCCCCCTCCCCATATATTATTGTTTTTATTTCACAATACAAACTAAATCAATAGTTAATATGTGTTTGTCTGTGTATTGTGGTGAATCTAACTAAACTCGTTATTATTTCCCGGTAATAGTATTTGTTCATTAAATAAAGTACAAAATGGAATTAATTAAAGTTAATCTTTTTGGTGATACAATTAATTTGAAAATAATTTACATTAGTGAGAAATCCGATGACTAGATACTTTCTCTAATTACTCCATCGTTAAATTACTTTTAATACAAAATAGATGGGGTTTGATAGAAAATTCCATACTCGATAGCATGATACCGAACTAGATAATAATTTAGTTATTTTTTGTCAAAAAAAATGAGCTGTTTGTTGTTTTTCTGTGAAACCGTAGTTAGGTGGTTAAAATATTATATTACAGATTCGAACCTCATTCAGTGTATTCGCGGAGCTGAAGAATAGTATCATTGACCCTTAAAAAATTTGTATTGCTCGGAATTGATTACATGAACTAGTTATGAAATATCGAGTTGTATTAAGTATTTTTTTGATATGATACATGTAATAGTATTTACTATTTGTATTGACTTGATTTACACTATTATTCTTTACTGAGTACACTATGAATACAAAACTGTGAATGATCCTACTAAAATGTTACTTTAACATGTTATCACACACGTATACTATATCATAGTACTAGACTTTAGTCGATTTTTTGACAAGTTGGTGAATTGTCGAACTTTAGATTCCTGTTACTGCTCCAAGTAATTCAAATTGCCTGATACAGAATTTGGATCCCAATTCTATTACTTGTAAGATACCGTTTACCGAAGTAATTTTTCATCCGTAGCTTTCTCTGCGACATATTGAAAAACAACTCAGCGCTTAAGATGCTAACTATGATACTACAGGTCCCCCATTCCAATATTTATTAGTCATTCAAGTACATGTCCGATTTCCAAGCTATTTTATTAATCTTTTGTTTGATTGTTATCACAAAGCTCATGGCACACAGCTTACTGAAGTCGGGCAGTGTACCAAGGCGATACAGTAAGTCAACAAACGTAGTATAGAGGGTACTGTACCAGACAGAAGATATACCTATCGCAGTTATTTAGATCAATCATAACAATAAATCAGTATAAGCTTCTACATTATTCAATTCGTATAAAATATCAGTATGATTATCCTACAACAAATCTCTTAATGGATTTTGTAAGGTTGACTAAAAACAATCGTATTCCACACTTTGAATGAACGAACTTAAAATCAGTTTCAGTGTGAACATACACGTTTATGTTTATAAAGAGCTTAGAAAAATGGAAATTTACGAATAGATTCTGTTATATGGCCAGCTTTCTTGTAAGTGACCGAAACTAATGAAGTAGCTTTTGGATTACTTTGCACAAATCTTTTGATCTGTCTGTATTGTTCTGATTTAAATGTATTCCGCTTGTTGGTTTACGAAAAACGTCAATGTTACAAAAGGCTTTACCCTTTCAAAGATCTATTTCTTATGTGATTGTTGTCATGCATTCCATTTTTACTGACCTTTTACGTCACTTTTACGGCCTTCTAATGGTTTATCAGTTCATATAGAGTAAACCAGACAGTGCATTTAATCAGACTCAACAAAATTGATTTTTTGATTGAGGTTGATAATATAAATCATAAAAATTAAAAAATAATCCATTTATTTGGGATTACTTATAAGTAGCACGGAAATATCTAGTGAAAAATATAAGTCGTGTAAAGATATGATGCTTTGTAAGCAGCAAATTTTGCGAAAGAATTGACTTCAAATTGAGTGTGTTTCCTCACATCTAAAACCATAAATTATCAAAGTTATTATTTTTTAACAATTGTGGTTAATAAAATTATTTACTGTAACGGTTACTCTACATTTATTCGATAAAAAAGAGAAAATTGAAGTAAACAGTTATACGTCCGTGACTACTAGGTTACAATACAAACGCAAGACGTTATGACCTGATAAAAGTGAGCTTTTGTACTTGTCAAAGTGTAAATACTTCAGAAATGTGTCATTTGGAAACTGGAGAGGTTGTTTTAAAAAATGTTAGAATGATTCGTTATAAGTTATCAGGGTGTAATCAATCCAATCATAAAATAAATCATGTAAATAAAGTGTATAGTAGAAGAATTTAGTCTAGTTAATGAAAAATAATAATAATAATATTGATACTAATAAGGATAATTTTGTGTGAATATAGTGTTTAATAAGTGAGATATTGTTAAGGTAGTTATGTAAAGAAATTCATGTTCATTGGGAAAGATGAATATGTAGACTACAAAGGAGACATTGGAGATATCAACAAAAAATGAATTACGAAGTAAATGGTTTTCAGAGTTCAGTTTAATTCTGTGATAACCCAATCGTAAAACAGGGTAAATAAAGGCTGAAGAAACCTCTGTTGTTCATATAAATTAGGTATTCTAGAGGTGATTCTGATGGTTTCAGCAATGTTGAATAACCGTGTTCATGCTTCCATGTGCAGATTGTCTGGAAACTGATACAAAAGAAAAAACTCCATCTACTTTAGTATGCTATTCACCAACTGCCAGGTGAAAAAGAACATCGCTGTTATATATTTCTTGACGCATCTTTCCAACTATGTCGGTGCATGTTTACGAACACGCAAGGATATAAACCTCTAGGTACATCCTGTGTGAATAGCTCCACAGGAGAAGTTAAATTCATATGTAAACATAAGGAGCCTATCATGGTTAACCTGTCGTTGATTCATTATGTAATTACTGATTTAGTTTACAAGACCATATGTAACTTGATGGCATTACACAACCTTTCAACGTGTTACGATAACATACTATATGCTCCCTTTAAAATTGAGTTCTGGCTAAAGGGTCTTGATGCTGATTGTCATAACTTGCCCTATGTTTATCCAGTTGGCCGTTGTTTCTTAGTGTATTCTTTAGTTGATCTATTTCATTATCTGCACTATGTTCAGAGAATAGTAGTTCTGATAGTTTTTAATAGTTCTTCAGTAAATGTTAATTAGTGATGAAGACCATCACTGAAATTCTATAAATCTATATTGATGTACGGCGAAATATACGTATATGCTTGTTGATTTCTTCATTTTAACTATAAAACAAGTCGTTTTTTAAGTGACTTTGTTATAATGTCCAGCTGAGAAAATCAGAGCTTGATTAAGTTTTATAGTCCTGAACTGTTAGTATTAAATGAGTAAATACAGGTATTCAAAAATTCAGTGATACTGGCTCATTACCAAGAATATTTTTTACTTTAAAACATTACCATCTTCGTTTATTTTGTCGTAGAAAATTTGATATCTTTCTGTGTGTTCTGTTATTTGCACTTTGAATTTGATTGGTAAACTTTACATTGTGTCCATCTTATTTGTTCTTAAATATGATTTATTCATCAACTGGCTGTTTTCTTATAATATTTAACTGCGAACAACTAAAATAATCAAGGAACATGAAGAGCTATTTACTATCAGTGGAGTTTAATGCGTTAATCAATTTGTAGTGATCATGATAAACTGTAAGTGAATTTTCATCGTAGGTGAACCTGAGAAATTTTAATAGGAAGTAACCCTCAAATAGTTTTTCATTCTGTTTGCGGACCCTTCAAAATAGTCATAATCATTTAATGATGGAGGGAGCGAATTGTTCATCGGTCATTGTTTTGGGAATGTTGAAGCGATTATTAACAAGATTTTCAACTAGTTTTAAGATGCGGTGCTATACATTGCCAAAGAGTATCTGTAGACTTCATGAGACCCTTATTGCCTAGGGCTATGATCACATGTGTTGTCGGTGAGTTATTTGAAACTTGAATGACCTCTATGTGACCAAATTGAGTATAGTGAATAGTTAGCGACTAAGATTATATATTCTCTGCCGATGAGATTTCATCCATCAAGTTTGAAATGAAAATTGTTTATGAATCAGCAATTAATTTATGCAGCAAGAATAACGTACGAATAACGAATATAAATAGTTTCTTTAGTAAATGTTTTTCTGCCCAATTTTCTGTGGGAGTCGTATTTAGCTTTTTATTCTATAAAACAACAGTTAATATCACAATACCATATTATTAATTTACATAAGTATATTCATTTACAAAAACTTAATGTTTGTAAGCCTATTAAAAATAAAATGCTTTTTATAGGATATAACAATTTGTAAACTATCAATTTTGGGGATTTGTAGTATTTTGCAAGTTGAATTCACGAGTCAATCTAAGCTAGACCATCACTGAAAACCTAGAAGCATTGGACAGCCGTCTCAACCTAGTATAAAACTCCTCACCAGCACGCATCGACAATCCAATACGATAGGATCGAATTAAGGACCTTCGGTTTCACACACGAACGCCTGACCTCTAAACCACTGAGCCAGCATCCAACGGTGCTAATGTATAACTTCAATCGATCCATGATCTAGCACAACCATTCATCCATTGTCTGAGGTGGATAACTGTCAAATGCCCGACAAGGATTGGACTCCGCTGGTCATGGCTTCTCACTAAAATTCCAAGAAAATCCATCTTGAACACATGGTTATTATCACTGTTCTAGAGGCTAGGCGTTTGTGTGTGAGACCGAAGGTATTTGGTTTGAGTCCCACGTATGGGATTATGGACGCGTACTACTGAGTAGTCTCATACTAGGACGAAACGGTTATTCAGTGATCTGGCTTAGATTGACTCGTGAATTCAAATTTTTAATTATTAAATTAAAATATTATATTGGAAAGAATTAATTAATCGGAAGATAAAAGTAAAACAACACCAAGCAAAT